AAAATTTTTGAACAAAAAAAAAAAAGTTAGGTCTACAATTATCAATAGGATGCTTTAAATTATTATTGCCATATATTAAACTTTTAAAAATCAAACTTGTTGCGGGCTAGATTATACGCGACGATAGAGTTGTAATTTTACGTCTTAGTGTTACACGGATATCTAGCTTACACACAGAGAACACAAGATTTTTACGCGGAAAACCCTGAATAGGAAAAAAACCACAAGACCTAGCCCAGTTGAAAAGATTTCACTGGAATTTGAGTTGAGTACAGTGAGCTGACTCGTCCTTGAGGGCGATCGGATTATAAATGTCAACTGTATGGTTGAAATATAGTGTTAAATCTGGCATCACTTGGAATTTGCGGCGTCAGTTAGTAGTCCGATAGTGATTTGGCAGAACTCTAACATCAGTTGATGGTATGGCGGAGTTTAGGGCCTCAAGTGGTGGCCTGGCGGAGTTCATGCCCTTAGGTGGTGGTCCAGCAAAGGTGAAGGCCTCAGGAGGTGGTCTGGCAAAGGTGAGGGCCTCAAGTGGTGGTCCGACAAAGGTGACGGCCTCAAGTGGTGGTGCGGCAATTGTGAGGGCCTCAGGTGATGGTCCGGCGAATGTGAGGGCCTCAAGTGGTGGTCTAGCGAAGGTGAGGGCCTCAGGAGGTGGTTCAGCAAAGGTGAGGGCCTCAAGAGGTGGTCCGGCGAAGGCGAGGGCCTCAAGCGGTGGTCTGACGAAAGTCTATAGTTGATCGGTGGTGGGGGGAAGTCCGACGTCGATCGGTGGCCGAGCGGAAGTCCTGCATTGATCGGTGGCCGAAAGAAAGTTCAGCGTCACTTGGTGGCCAGATAGAAGTTCAACATTAGACTGTGGCCAGGTGGAAATCTGGCGTCGATCGATGGTCAAGTGGAAGTTAGCCGTCGATCGTTGGCCGAGCGGAAGTTCGACGTCAGTCGGTGGCCAGTCTGAATTTTTACATATATATTATATAAAGTTGAAGTAATTATATATTTAATGTCTAAAATTTATTTTTATTTTATTTTATTTATTTAATATTTAAAATTATATATTTATTTGTGTAATATTTTAATATTTAAATGTGATAGAAAAATATTTAAATATATAAATAATAGCATGGTATATGCGTAAATTCTAAAACCTATTTTTATTTTTTTATTGCGCTGGTGCCGGTGTGGCGGTGTGGGTTAGGGCAAAGCGAGGCAGGGGTTACGCGGCCTTAACTGTTAACTGTAGCCTCCTAGTCAGCGGATTACCTGAGCGTGCCCCTGACGCCAATGGCGCTCCTCGCAATCCCTGCGAGGCGGAGTCTCCCCTGCGGCAACTTACTCCTTGTTGCTACCTGGGCGGTGGTTGTCCTATGTGTCGCAACTGAAAAGGCCTCGCCTTCCTGCCGTTTCTCTTCTCCGGCCTTTTCCGACGATCAGCACCATCATGCTCATCATGATCATGATCATCATCATCATCATCCACACGAACATGATCATGATCACGATCACGATCATGGAGAGATTCAAAGTCGGAAGCTTCCGGAGGAATTGGCGGAGGAGGAAGATCTGGCTCGGGAGGGATTTGGCTTCAACCACCACCACCACCACCACCGCAATCACCACCACTACCATCGCCATTTCCACTCCAATGACGGTTCTGAACATGAGATATCTCGTTTAGGTAATTGTTTTTAATTGATGAGATAATAATCTATTCAATGTTGAGTTCGATGAAACTGCATGAGTTTTCACTTCTTGTTGGATTGGTATTGGAAATTGAAGGTATTTGGGTACGAGCCATGGGATGCTCACTGCTTGTGAGCATGGCGTCACTGATCTGCCTTATCATATTGCCTCTGATATTCTGTGAGTGTTTTTTTAGAACTCGTCTTCATTATGTTTTTTATTTGATTTTAGCTCTTGTAGTTGGGTCGCCGAATAGTTTGAGCTTTCGTTTTGGGTTTTTGCAGTTCAGGGGAAACCTTCCAGGGCGGTGGTAGATTGCTTGGCTGTATTTGGGGTAAGCTATTAACTTTTATTATCCCGGTTATCTTTGTTGGCTAATCTTGGTGTAGCTGGAAGTCAGACCAAAGTGCTTAAGTAATTAGGCGGCTCCCACTGCTTATGGGCCTTTTGATAGATAATCAGGATTTAAGTTTGAACAAAGCACGAATACCAATATGTATGTTAAAGGAACTAAAATGTTAAAAAAAATATGTTTCCATTCGTTTTGGTTTTTACTGAGCTGAAAATCGTGTTGATTGGGAGCAAGTTCCTTTCCTCCAAATAAAAAACAAACTAAAATTCTGTCACTATGATTATCTCTGAGACAATGCATTTTTCTCTTCAAATTATTTCCACTCATTGTAGAATATCATGTTTAACCCTTGTATTAAAATAATCGTTCTTTTATGCATGTTATGAAAGCTGGTTTCCATTAACTTTCAATGCACGTTAAATTGAATTATATATCTTCCATATTTGGCCCTTTTGCATAGTTTGTTATCCATTAAAAAAGTGCTCATGAACTTGCTACTAGCCATCTTCTTGATTGTTCGCAGAAGAAATTACTTTATTAGTTTTATGGTACTTAAGACCATGGTAAAGTCATTCATCTAATTTTTGTCATTTCTATTGGTTCCTTGCTTTCAAAAACTTTGTTCAGGTTGTTTGATGTTCTTATTTACAGGCCGGAGCTATGCTTGGTGATGCTTTTCTTCATCAATTACCGCATGCCTTTGGTAAAATCTTCAAACTCGTTGTTCTATCTTTGTGTCTCTTTATGCTTGTAAACATGTACAATATTTTTTAGCAAATGGGGGTTTTTAATAAAACTTTCCATGAAGCAACGACTGCAACAACATCAAGCTTTTATCCCACTCCTTGGGGTTGGTTACATGAATTTCTTTTCTACATTGTGTCCTCTTAAGAGTCAAATTATCATTTAAATCTAATAAAAAAGGATTATTTTTAATATTTTTCAACCAAGTCCTTTTAGGTCTACCTTTACTTTTTTTAACATAAGTCAAATCTAATACACCTACTCTCCTAACCGGGTTATCAGAAGGCCGACGTTTTATGTGTCCAAACCATCTAGACCGCTCTCTCTAATCTTATTTGCCATTGGAGCTACTCCAAGCTTTTCACGTGTGTTTCGAATTTTATCTATAAGAGTGAAGCCACTCATCTACCTGAGCATCTTTATCTTTGCAACACTTAACTTAATTTTATGTTTATCTTTTAAAGGCTATGCCATAAAACATTGCAGGTATCACCACCATCTTATTGAATTCTCTCTTAAGTTTGATGGGCACTTTTCTATCACACAACAAGCCCGATGCATTCCTCCGCTTGAACCATCCAACTTGAATTTTACTAATAATATTCCCATCTATTTCACCATTAGTTTGATCAATAAACTCAAGATATCTAAAACGTATACTCATTTTAATGACTTGATCGCCCAAAGTCACAATCCTCCCACTAGATTTATTATTACTAAAATTACACTCCATGTATTCAATTTTATATCTACCCAAACGAAGTAAATTTTTAGATTTTGAGGTTGACCTTCATAATTAAAGTTTACCTTCAACTTCCTTTTTAGTCTTATCAATAAGAAGAATATCATCAGCAAAAACATACATCAGGGTCCATCATCTTGCAAATGTCTAAGAAGAACATCCATGACTAAAGCTAAAAGATATGGGCTTAAAGCTAATCCTTGTGCGCAATCCAACTGAAATAGAAAAATACTTGGTCAAACCGCATTGTGTTTGAACACAAGTAATGGCTCTTGCATACATTTCCTTAATGACTTGAACATAAGCATTATTAACTCCTTTCTTTTTTAGAATTCTTCAGAGCACTTCTCTTGAAACGTTATCATATGCTTTATTTAAATCAATAAATATCATATATATAGATCCTCCTTATTCTCTCAAAATTTCTCCAACAAACCTCTCAATAAATGTATAGTTTCCTTAGTGGACCTACCCTACATGAATCCAAATTCATTTTGCAAAACATTAGCATCACGTCATAACCTATGCTCAATAACTCTCTCCCATAATTTTAAAGTATGACACATTAACTTAATTCCTCTATAATTCACACACCCTTGTGCATATTTATTCTTAAAAATAAGAATCAACACACTCCTCCACTCACTCATCTGACATATTTTTAGTCTTTAAAATAATATTGAAATGTTTCGTAAGCCAATACAATTTTTTCATCTTCTAAGTATTTTCACGCCTATATTGAAATATCATTAGGTCCAACAGCTTTTCCATTCTTCATTTTCTTTAGAGCTTCTCTAATTTTGGTTTTATTGATACAACGTTCAAATTAAAAATATCTATTTCCATTTAGGATGCTAAGGTCATTAAAGTCAATCGTATTCTCACAATCTTCTTTGAAATACTTATGAAAATATCTTACCCACCTTTGTTGAATATCCTCTTCTAATAAAAGTATTTTTTGATCTTTATCCTTAATGCACTTCATTTGAACTAATTCTTTACTTCCTTATCTTTTTGTTTGACTAACTTATAAATATATCTTATGCCATTCTTAGTATCTAATCTATTATATAAATTATTAAAAACAATTCTTTGCATCACATATTACTTTCTTATACTCCTTACGGTCCTCTTTTGATATTTCCTAATTTTTTGAGTTTTTACACTTAAATCAATTATTATTACAAAGTTTCTTATTTTTTTATCTTTTTTTGTATATTTTGATTTTAACATCAACTATTTTATTATTATGAGCTTTTACTTTTGATACTCCTAGCATATCTTTAACAAAAATTCTTAATATCACTTGCTATTTTTTTCTCACATAACATTATCTTCTTCATGCACAGTCAAATTCTTAAGATATTGAATCTTACACAAAAAAATATTTTTATTAGTGTTCTTTAAATGCTCATATCCAATCCTAGAACAATATTTTACTTTATTTTTCATATTTCACCCCTTCATCTTAAAGTCCAAAATTAATAAACGATATTGGATACATAAACTTTCACTCAGAATAATTTATAGCTTTACAATATAAATGATCTATTTTTTTTATAAGAAAATAATCAATATGAGTTTTACTATATCCATTCTTATAAGGGATGAGATGCTCATCTTTTTTCTTAAATAAAGTTTTAGCAATTATAAAATCATAAGCTAGAGCAATGAAGCAATTAGTCCATTTTGTGGATTTATTCACTACCAGCCCGAAACTCATTAAATTCTTGATAATATCCAACACTTTTAGTTAAGATGAGTTCCCATTCATGAATAACAAAATAATGATTTATGAAGGATAATTAAGAAATATTAATTCAAAACAACTGAAAAATGTCATCGAAGGACATCAATTGAATAGATGGATCAAACCTCTAAAATAAGGATTCAACTGCCAATATAAATAAAATTGGAGAGATAGGGTCTTCAGGTTTAAGGCCCATGGAAAATAAGAGGTTTATGTTTTAACATGACCAATTATAACCTTTAGTACAGTCCAATTTGATTACAATATTGTTAGACCGGTCCTCTTGGGACCGGTCCAGCCGGCCCAATAATCCATTGGGCCGGCTTGGTTCGTCTACAGGCGACGGGAACGGGCGGAAACAGAGGGGAAGCCGGCGGAAGATTGAGGAGAATTTTGGGTGGGGTCCACTTGTTTTTGAATTTGTATCTTGGAGCCAAAAGGCGTGGGAGCAAGGGCAATTAGGTCCTTTTATGTTATTTTTGAATTGTATGCATTAAGTAGGGAGAAAAGGAGAGATTATGGTTATGGGAGATTTGCTTTGAGTTTTATTGTTCTTCTTTGGTGGCTAGGGCTCTAGATCGAATTCTAGAGATTGGGAGAGTGCGATCCTCCTCTCGAATCGAGGATCCTTGTATCTTTGCTATTTTCCTTGCATCTATTAGTAAAATAAAGTCTTTTTCTCCAAATTTCTCTCAATTTTACTCATTTTTTTTCACTGTTTTCCTGCTCTGGACAGAAGTTTCTCTTTGATCTTTGCCTTTAAATTGGTTAGGAAATACTTGAACTCAAGTAATTCCTATCAAATATTTTCACCAAAATCTTTTTCACAGGTACTATATTATCAGAAATATTCCTCCTTCACAAAACCACTTTGGTTGAGAGAAATAAGTTTAGGTAATCTATCAACAATTCTATCTACTAAACAGTTTGGTAATCATTTTGTTGAAGACAGGACACAAGCTAATATGTTTAATCTGTCAAAGATTGAGGATTAGAGGATTTAGGTATGAGAATATGAGATATTGTAGAGGAAAATATTGAAATCATTCCTTTTAAAAAGGACTATGTATAACATCATAGTGAAGAAATCTCAGCCAACTTTACAGATTAAGGATGTATCCATCGAGACTACCGTTGGTATCAACTTCAATTCAAAAGCAGCCCTCTTAATCTCTTATAAGAGATAACATATAATTTTATATTGCTTGTATTAGTTTTCAAAGCTGGGGTAAAACACTAATAATTGTCTTTTAGAATAAAATCCTCCCAGGATATCCTATTATTAAAAAAACTTAAAAGCAGAACAGAGAGCTCAGCTTGAGAAATTAGCCCATAAGTTTTTGATTTTGTTAACTGGCACCCCCTCTTTTTTTTTTTTCAGAACCAGTGAGTGATAATACTTTATGTTCCCATCACCCTCTTTAACCTTCTTAATGCAAATTTTTTCTCCAAAGTCCTCCATAGAGTTTTGTAAAGAGCAAAAGTTGCTCTATTCAACTAAAATTTATTCGATAAGTGATTTGAATTGCTGCAGAATCCCTTCACATTTGAGAACCTCTTCCTTGACAACCTGAACGTTGCCAATTAAATTCACAAAAATATTTTTTGTCTCACATATTTTAATCTTTTATATTTTGTCATAAAGCAATCATACCGGAACTGCATGGTGGACCATTATAATTTTATTTCATGATAAAATAAAAAAATGATGCCTATTTTATATGTTCTAGAATCAAAACACTATAAGACCATATGATATGAATTTAAGTAACTAAAGGGGATTAAGCATTCTTGTCTCTCAAAACTTCAACCAAAGATTAGGATCATTTGATCCCTATGTCAGTGTTTTACCTAGCGGAATCACAGTGGTAGAAAAGATAATTTGTGGAAAAAGGCAAAACCATTTGAGGAAGAACAATGAGTAGGAAGAGGAGAGACACCTTCCAAATTATAAGAACAAAAGGCAGCAGGAGACATGGATCATTTGGGGTGGTTTTACCTCCTTTAATTTTATTATTAAATTCCATTAGCATGGAGTAGCATGCATTCTTATTTCCTTAAGCCAGCTTCTTTACTTTAGAGGGTAAACCTGTTTTTTAGCAGCTTAAGTAGCCTACGTATACGGGATTTTATTTCTGTTTATGATTAAATCATTAGAATATATATACTCCATGAAATGTTTTTTTTGGTTGAGATCATAGACATCAGTCTTTTTTTACCTTTTTCGTTGATTAGTATAAATCTCTTTTTTGCACGTTTTGATGGTCATTGCATGCTATTTTTTTGATTGAGGCTTCGTTTGGGGCGGCTTTTTTACTGCTTCTTGAAGCAGCTTTCTAGTACAAAAATTAAAATTTTTGTACTAGAATTGTACTAGAAAGAGGCTTCAAGAAACAATAGAAAAGCATTCCCAAACGAAGCCTGAATTGTGCTAGCTGCTAGGATTATATCTTTATATTAAACGTCATCTATAATGCATACTCTCTATTTGAGTACCAAAAGGGAACAGTTTTTCTAATCTCTTTTAGTGCCCAAATCTATTTTTTAAATGTCATAATTCTTAGTAAATGCAAGATAGCTTAAGACCCTTGAACAAAAATTATGAAAGCACATATATTATGAATAGTGGCACTAATATGACTCTTCATTGGGCCACCCAATTGAAATGAATTGTGAAATAATCAGCTGGTTACTTGTCTCGTCATATCACCATAAGATGGTAATAAGGTGCTAGGAGTCAGTAAGTCTCATTAGGGATTTTCTCTAAATACTTCGAGAAGTTTGATTATTGATTTTAATGACCTTTATTATGGTGTTCTCTCTAAATCTTGAACACGCTATTTCCATTATTTCTTCTGATGCCTTTCTGTTTTCTGAATTGCAGTTTGTTTTAAAACTGTTTACTACCTATCAAAATCTTAGTCATCCCTTGGCACTTGACCCTACGGTCAAGATGAGAATCCGTGGGAGACTCACCTGGATCACGCCAATATCCTTCTATATTTGGGTCGCTGAATTAGGAATGATTATATTGAGGCAATTATGTATCAATTAGAAGTTATTTATTTTTTTATTAAGTCATCTTGTATAGATCTATAAATAGAGATAATTTTGTATAATAATTAGAAGCATATTTTTTCCCTTCTCAAATTCTATGAATTTTAACACTACCAATTGTAGCCTGTTTCAAAAATGTCTTCCTAGCATTGTCAAGATTAAATCCTTAACCATTTGCTTATATTCTTTTCGGTCTTCTTGAATCTCTTGTTTTTGTCTACTCCTAGCAAATAAAGCCATTGTGTCCTAATCTTGTAACCTAGTCGTTTCCTGTTCCTTGGTGCAGTCTTGAAATCAACTTGCAATCAGCCTACCAAAGTGACAATTTTGATGTTCACGGTGTACTTAACTTTCCTCTACAGCTTACCTATATTTTGCATTCCAAGGTTTCCATAAAGCACCATGAAAATAAGGTTAAGCTCATTGATTGGACTTTCTTTGTGAGAAACCTCCCAAAATCTTTATTTATTTTAATTTATGACCTTCCTAAAATTTATCAGCTCAAAGCAACTTAAATTCATCAAGATTATCTGATTTAAACAATTTATCATTCGTATTGCAGTAATTGCATTATCTATGCTTGATTTTTTATTTGTTATATCGCGGTTCTCAGGGATTCAATTGTGATGTTCTAAATGAATGGTGTTATTTTGTTCTCTCCAACATATATTCTTTTGATAATAATAATCGAGTCTCTTGAGTTTTTTCTGGTGAAATTTGAAAATGATTACAAATTAACTTCAATTACTAGTATGAATACTCTATATAGATTGGAGTTAAATATATTGTCATGAGTAGTAGACTTTGATAATACCTATAGTGCTTGACATGTTATTGTGGAAACATTAAAACAAATCCAGATTTTATTAGGATCAAAAGAAATTTAACCAGTAAGAATAGAACGTTTCTGACTTAAAAGAAAAAGGACAAATGTGAATTAGAGGAATGATAACAAGTCACTTTGAAAAAAATTATGAAATTGCATTCTGAAATATGAAAACAACATTAAATTGCATTCTATGCAAATGTGAATTAGAAGAAGAATGAATACAAGTCACTTTTTAAACTATAAAAAACCAAACTTTAGAGGGTATATCTTTCTAGTGACAGATGTTACTTAAAGTAGAAAATTTTTGTAGTAAGTTTTATTACTTTATACCTGGGGTCATATTGTTCACTTTGACATTTGTTGAGTCTTGATGTCAAATATATTGAAATTTAATGCTCTCAAGCTTTAGCTTCTCCATTCAGTTTTTTTGGGAATGTCTTAGATGCTGAACTTCTTAATACCAATTCTTCCAGGTGGCAAACATTCTCACTCGCATGATAACCATATAGACAGTTTTGGCGAGGCGGATCATGAGCATGGACATTCACATGCTCATTCACTTGAAGATCTTTCAGTTGGGTTGTCAATGCTGTGTGAGTTTATTATAACTTGCATATTATAGTTGAGGATATGGTGCTTTGCAATTTTTTTTCGATAGGTTTGTGGCTACTGAACTTGAGAGATATATATAACTGGTTAAGAAATTATTCGGTGCACACCATAGTTGGAAAAATTTTAATATCTTTTTATAGTTTGGAAATTGATAGATTGCAGTAGTTTTTAAAATTATAGGGTTAATTTATATAGCCTTGTATAGATGCAAAAATCTATCTTGACGCAAGAAAATTGCTAGTCTATTGAAGATTTAGATGTGGTAAGGCAAGGTTGGAGGCTAACAGAAGGTTTAAGGTGTTGGGGTTATGCTATAATGATGAATCTCTCTTGTTCATTTGATTTCAAAACTTTTATATGATTGTTGACCTCTATATGTGCTATGCTATGCAATCCGATCGAGTACGATAAATATGGTAGACAATGGGCGTTATGTTGGACAAAGTTGGCTAAAAACACATCACACATATTAAAATTTATCCATATGTCATCCGCTCGTAAAAAAGATAGCTTAGACATGTCTAAGATGTCGAAATTACCCGGAGGGACACATTTATTGGCCTTTGCATCGTATGAAAATGAAAAACAAATTTGTCTGCATGCGAGATGACACAAAACTTGAGACTCACGAGAAATAAGTAATTGTGTGAGGAGTTGATTCACATGTTATTATCTTTTAATTTTTTATCTATTTTATATGATCAAAATTTGATTTAAAAATTATTATGTATTTTTAACAAATAATCAAATCTCACGATCCTAAAATCCCGTCTCATACCATAAAAATCTCTAAATTCTTGTTGTGATGCCTAATCCCTCTACAAATGCGTACTGTGTAGTTCCTATCTTGCATCCTGCTATATATGAAAATAAGAAGATAACCTAAACTAACCCAATATCCCCACTTTCCAACTGATTGCCCATTACCTTTCCTAAGACTAGCTCCTCTCTCTCTCTCTCTCTCTCTCTCTCTCCTGCCAGAGGCCACATCATCGCCTACATCTTCCTCTCTCTTCTCTCTTTCTTGTTCCTAACCCTCGGCGACCCAACAATGTGTTGTCAGTTTCCCTGCAACCTGTCGTCGGTTGTCCCCTCTTCTCTCATACACCATGAACTCTTCCTCACCAAGTCCTCATCTTCTCCACATGCCAAACCACTGACGATGCTCAACCCCCACAAACCCTTTTCCACCTTATTGAGTGTTTGCTCATTGACGACCTACTCAACTTAATTAGATCTCTCTATACAAGAGGAATCGAACTCCCACTCTCCTACGACCTTTGTCCTCATCCGCAATAAGGCTTCGCTTCCTATTCTACATTTACCCAATCACCGCCTTCCCCTCTCTTCTCTCTTGACCTCTCACCAACCCATCCTCCCTCTCTTCTCCCACTAGCAACCACTCGTTGTCGAACAAAACTACCATCTAACACTTTACATGGACAACCCCTCTTAGATCTCACCGATGCCACTTATTCTCAACTCTTCAGTTATGTTCTTATCAAAGATGCTCATCCCCGTTAATCCAAACTCCGTTGCCTCCTTACAAAGTTGTCGAACCCGTCTTCCCCAACACCTCTGGCAATATCTCATCTCTTATCAACCCACGGGAGGCCACAAACATAATCATTAGCTCCACTGCTACTTTTATTTCTCTATCCCTTTATCTGTCTTACCCTCTTCTTCCTCTCTCTTACCATTTTTTCTCTATCTCTAAAAAAAGAATGGAGAACAAGAAGTAAAAGGAAAATGAAAATAAATAGAAAAAAAAGAATAAAAAAAGAAAGTCGTGTGTATTTTTTCCACGTCGTAAATCTCGTCACCTTGTGTCTTCATCAATAAAGTCACCTTATGTCTAAGTAAAAATACAGAAAAGGCTACAAATTAAGTGCCTTTGCATGTTATTCCAATACACCGGGAAAATTTATGTATATGCTAATTGGTCATTGTAGGAATGGATTGTTGAAAGCTCGTGCTTGCAGCTTACTAATGGATTTCCATGGAGGCATCCATATATCTAGAAGAGACTTGAATAGTATTTTAAATTTATTGTGTGTAATTTTTCCTTTTTAATTGATGTATGAAAGTAAAAATAAATCTCCAATCATCCGTTCTTTCAAATATGTGGCAGTTTTTTCATTTTTTGTTGAGAATTCATTAGCTATTTGTTGACAATTCATTAATAATTTCTCTCGGGAGAGGTTTGAACTTGGAAGAAATTTAAATCCTCAAGCTTCTTCACATTGACTAATTCATAAATTTATGCATGAATTTTACAAATTTTAAAAGGTGGCTTTGCATATCTTATTGAACGAAGGTTGGGATTTGTAAGTATCATGCTCTATCCATTACTAATAATCAAACTACTTGGTGTTAAACTTTTAGGGCCTCACACAAACCTTATAACTGTTTGTTATGTTGTTAGTTACTTTATTGGCTAAGAAAAAAGCATCATGCAACTAATTTCTTGTAGTAGAAATCTAAATGTGTTAAATATTATATCTGGATTGATAAGTTGAGTGGTTTACTTAGAAGCCCAATTTCTCTCTTTGGTATGTATGCGGAAGACTTGTTGGGCATTTTTAGTTAGCTAGTGTAGTCCTTTAATGAAATTATTTTGTTACAAATTGCAATAGTATGATAGATGATATGCCACAAAAAATAACCTTGATCGGGCACGATCTCAATACATATCTAAATTAAAAAATTTCAAAAGCTAATTAAGATTGTCTGAACTCCGAGCTTAGCAAACTTGTAGTCAAATTGAATGTTTCGACGAAATAAACCCAACAATATAAACAAGCAAGTGAATATGAGCCTGAATGAGCCTAAGTCAAGGCTCTGAAGCATAATCAGAAATTTCATTGCATTAATTGGATGATGAAGAAATGATCTATTATCGAGGGACTCAATATAGGCTGTCTAATGGAGTGCTTCAGATTTTCTCTATGTTTATGGGGCATGCCAGTCCAAAAAAATCTATAAATAAGCCCCACTCCCTACACGAAGGGGGATCCTTGGCTAGAGATTCAAGAGAGCTTCGAGAATTGAAGAATCCTGGAGCTCCACCCGAGCACCATTGCCAGCAAACCTCCACTTGGCTGCCACTGCAGGACATCTGCCCGATCGTCACCATCAAACCTTTATAGCCAATCATCACCATTGTACCTCTATATGGCCAATGCTCTGGACCTTTGTCAGCTAACCATCTCCATTGGACTTTTGTCGCTTGGTCGCTGTCATTGGTCCTCGGTTAGACTGTGGGACCTCCGCCCAGTCGCTACCACTGGACCTTCTCCCTGTAGCCATTGTCGGACCATCTTCATTGAGCTTTCGCCACCCGACCACTACTATTAGTCGCCCAACCACTTTTGTCGCCTGACCATTGTAGTTAGACTTTTGCTGCTTGGTCGTCGCCGTTGAATCTTCTTTGCCCAATCGCCACCGACAGATCTTCCGCCTGACCACTGCCGTTGAATCTCGACCGATTAACCTCCATTGTTGGACATTTATCAACTGACTGCCACCATCAGACTCTTTGTCACAGCCCCAAAACGTACATATAAGACTTTTCGACACTTTTTTGCAAGTTCTCTAAACTCTTTTAATTTTAACGTCTCTGAGATAAGATGCTGACAAAACTCTGTAATTCATGCATACGTAGTCGAATTATTTCAACTAGGCAAGTCATCGTAGTTTTTCCCTTTTTGAGTTTTGTACATAAAAAATCTATGGTGTCATCCAATCTCTCTCATTTATTTGTTAATGTGCTGGAGATTTGTGCAAATTTATGATAAAAAACTCCCTTTTTACGGCCGCGAAGTTTCTAGCCCGCAACGAGGTAAGTGCCAGAATAAAAAGTTGCTAGCTATCGTAAGAAAGTGCTAGATTGCTAGATTGAAAGTCTGGTTTACTATTGTAATATGTCCATGATATTGTCCTCTTTATTGTCTTTTTTGGTTCTCCCTGACTGCCTATATATAGTTACTTTTATTTAATTAATGATGAATAACAAAATGCCTTTTCTTTCAAATTTGGTATAAAAGCAAGGTTAGCACTAGCCATAGTCATCATCCTTCCCACCCCTTTCACTCTCCCAATTCTTTTTTTCTTGTTGATCTCACTTCTGATAGGCGGACCATTCTTAGTCGTAGTTCTCACTTGCCTACTTGACTCACGCTCACCTACATACTTGCTTGGTCACAGCACGTGGTTTCCTGCATGCTTGCTTGCTCATGTTTTTTGCTCGCATACATGCTTTCTTGCACACTCTCTCAAACTTTCACTTGCCTTGTTTGTGAGCTCTCTTGTTTCTTGCACGTGTGTGCTCAAGCTCGTTTCTGTACTTGCATTCTTGGCTGTGCACTTCCTGCTCTCATGCATGCTCTCACTAACTCATTTCTGCATGCTTCCTTCACCTTGATTTATAATTGATTAAATCTTTCTCATATTCTTCTTTCTCTCTGGGCGGTATTTTCGTATGACTTTATTTATATTTACTGTTCTTTTATGGAACACTCTAATCCACTATTGGTACGATTATCCATTCAATGATACCAAGTATCTCCTATGATCTTATTCCTTCCATTTTCTCGTGGGTTCTCATGAGTAAATTAGTCATTTGGACTCTTTGCCTCCTGAATCGAGAAACATTTTCAAATACACCAAATGACAAGCTTTTGACTATGTTGTTCTCACATTGATGCTCAACAACCTCAAACCTATAATTGCTTGTATCCTTTTTTTTAGGAGACTAACAAAAAGATGTGGGATTTTCTTCGTCTTAATTACTTTCACGATAATGAGGGCATACATCTTGTTACCCTCTACTTTGTTTGAAACAAGATGACAAATCTATTCAAAAGCATTGCTATGCTTTGATAGGAAAATTGGATGAACTTGTTCGATATTATCCTTTTATTATCGATCTGACAACTCGAAAAAAAATTGAATGAGGAGTTTATTATTTCCAAGGTTCTCTTTAATCTCTATATTTATCTCTATAATTTGTTTAAGCTTAGTTAATGGATAACTTTACTATCCCAACTTCTCTACAGCTTTCTGATGGGTTCTCCATAGCACTGAATTACTTGATTCGTCTTCTTTGATCACAGTTCGGCTGCTCTTCTTGTAAGAGCAACTAACTGTAATTGTAATTGTTGATGTGGTCGTCGTGATGATGACCATGATTGAGATCACAACTCTTCCCATTTGTCAGCATTGCTAAATGACGAATCATTCATCTGATCGCTAATTTTTAGGAAAAATTTAGCTATCCTCGGATGGCTTAGCATGTTTCCATTATCGCCTTTGCCAATTCTTTGGGTTCTCATTCAATTTTGATCTCTCTTCCTAATTAAAACAAAATGATCAATTATTTTAGTATTCTTTGTTGAATAATTTAGTCTTTCATGCTGTTTCCTCTTTTGCTTGGATTGCTACTGTTCACTCTGAAGCGTCTTGATTTCTAGATTATGGTTCTTCTTCTCATATTATGATTATCTTACAGTTTATTATTATTATTTATTAAGACATCCCTCCCACGTACTGTTGTTGATAGATCTCCCTCACTTGTTTATGAAAAATTGATCTATCCATCCATGGTTTGACTTGACTTTAGACAATGTTTGTATGTTGCACAATTATTTTTATCAAAGTTTTGTTTTTTTTCTTCCAATTTTATATCAAGTAGGAACTTATTGATATATATACTCCAGCAGTGGGAGTGTAATTGTAGGGAAGTACTGAAATTAGAAAGACGTTTTTGTATGACAGTTCTGTTTGTTGTTTGCGCATTGCAAGGTATCGGTTTGTTTTATTTACCACTTTGGTTTGTTCTTGTGTTTTTAAATCTACGTTTGCATAATAAGGGATAACAAACTCAACCTTTATTTGTGATCTTACGCATTTCATAATTATTAATGTGTACTGGTGTGCTGTCTACAGTGGGAATTGTTCTTTTCTTCCTTGTTGAGAAGATTGTAAGATATGTTGAAGATCATTCTCCCAATGGAGCTAACAACCTCATGCATGGTCATAATCATCATCATCATAAGCAACAACAGAAACTAAAACATGATGGAGAGGTTACTAGTCAGCAGCTGTCTGATTCAAAGAATCGTGAAACAGTGGATATGATTTCAGAAACGGAATTGAATGGTCAATCTGATGCAAGGCTAAAAAATGACAAGAATGATAAATGGGAAAATCTTCGCAAGGTACATGACTAATTAAAGTAGAAATATATGGATGGCCGACCTCAAATGAAACTGTACTTGAATAATGTCCTTGCAAAGGTTCCAATCTTCTTCTTTTGAACATATAAACCATTTTGGTATTTCCTTGTTTCTTAGTAAATGGTTTTCACATTCTACTTTATTATGATGCATCTTTCACTTCTTTTCCTATATTCCAGTCCATCTTAACCATTTAATAAACTTATTTTATTGGAGAGTAGTGGAAGATGCTTAAGTGATGTCCAAAAATGATTCCTAATTAATTGTTATTTAATGCATCTTCTTTAAAACTTCTAGTCACAGACTAACCTTTTTATGTAATGTGAAATTTCTATCTCTTTTATCTTTGTCTGTCATTTTTCTTACTAATCCTTTGATATTATTTTTATTTATCCATTTTATTAGTGCATCTTGTACTTTTCATTGAACAGACCAAAATTATGTCTCTATTTTTAACTATTTAATCTTTCAATAGATGCGACTGTTATCACCCTTTAATATAACATTTTCTAATTTTTCATTCTTTATTTTACCATAAGTTATTCTTATCATTTTTTTTGCTATACTCAACTTAGAGATAATTTTTTTACTTATGAATTATGATTAATTAGACATAAGCGGGCTGATTACTATTTTATACAATATATATTTATATCTTCATGATTTTTTTAGCACGATATTCCTACAGCACTTATTTATTTTTAATCACCAAGTCTTAACTTTAGATTATATATATACTTATGTATATATTCATTCTTCTATATGATCGTTATAAAATATTTAAATTTATTACAAATAGTAATCATGTTATCTTTTAGTATTATTAGTTGCTATTTATTGACATTACAACTACTAAAATTGTATGTTACATACAAGTTCTTTATTGTATAATTTCAAAATCTTTAATTTCTAAATATTTTTATCATTTTCATAATGTTTATTATTTCAACAAATGTTTCAGTTTTATAACTATATCAGCTGCAAAAATTATCTAATATGTTTAACTTTGATTATCTTTTATGAGCATCTTTCTAACCAATAGAAAATATATTGATTTAAAGTTAATCCTTACCACAATCTTGCTGTAATGGTAACTCCTTACTCACTCTAAAATTATTTTTTATTCTAGTTAATACTTTTTAATAATTTCAACTTTTATATTTTTTTAGAGATTTTATATACATAACACCCAAAAGTATATTATTTACTCATCTAATATCTAAACTTGTGTATTTATAGGCTTACCACCTAAAAAATGTTTTGGCTTTCTAAAATACGACTCTGTCTTCTTCTCCATTCAAAATCCTCTTCATATCGCACGAATCGTTCGCAATTAATCTGCCTGCTCTCGGCTGTAGGTGTCTGTTCGCAAGAAACTCTAAGGGCGAACCCATTTCCTTCTCTCTAATACCGGTCGCCAGCCCTAGTCGAGACCGCCAACCTGTCCTAGCCGCCAGATCTCCTTTGCAAGGTGAACTCTTCCAATTCATCACTTTTCTTTTTCCCTATTGTTCTCCATATTATCTCTTTTGAAATATGCTTATCATTTTCAAGTAATCGTTCTATTTTTGTTATGATTTTATCTATGTATAAGAGCATCTGTTTGTTTTGTATTACTTTTCCTAGTTAGCCTAAATTTTTTACGTTAGCTGTATCTTCACATGCTTTGTTTTGTATTACTCATTTTGTCAATTGGCTAATTTCAGGAATTGAATGATTCGGCCTGTACATTTTAGAAGTATTGTATATTAGATGTTTAATAAAATGCCAATAGGAGAATAAAATGAAAAAATAAATTTGTAATTACAAATTTAGTAATTGGTTTAATTTATTGCATATGATTTAGTTAACTGTATTTACTTATTTGAATTTATTTTAAAATTTTAGATTTTTGACACAAGTTCAAGCTGCTCCATTCAATCACCAAGAAGCCTAGATAATCCAATCTATTGTCGTTGCAATCTACAATGTAAAATCTATATTTGCTTCAAAGCTAATAATCGCTGAAGAAAGTTCTATAGATGCTCCCGAAACAAATCAGAACATGATTGCGTATATTTTCATCAAACCACAGACTGGAAGTTATGTTTCAGGGGTATATATAGAACTTTCTTCTGCGATTATTAGCTTTGTAGCAAGTATAGATTTTACATTGCAAATTGCAACGATAATATATTGGATTATAGGCTTCTCGGTGATTGAATGGAGCAGCTCGAACTTATATTAGAAATTTAAAATTACAAAATAAATTCAAATAGATAAATGCAGTCAACTAAATCATATACAATAAAGTAAACTAATTACTGAATTTGTTATGACAAATTTATTTTTCCATTTTATTCTCCTATTGACATTTTATCAAACATCTAATATATAACATTTTTAAAATATACAGTCCGAATCATTCAATTCATTGAATTAGCTAGTTGACAAAATAATAATAAATAATACAAGTCAAAACAAGCGAAGATACAACTAACGTAAAAAAATTGGGCTAACTAGGAAGAGTAATATAAAACAAATAGATACTCTTATATATAGATAAAATCATAACAAAAATGGAATAATTATTTTAAAATGATAAGTATATTTTAAAAGAGATCGTATGGAGAAGAATAGAGAGGAAAAGAGATGAATGGGGAGAGTTCACCTTGCAAAGAAGGAGATCCGACAGCTAGGGTAGGACGGTGGTCTCGACTAGGGCTGGCGATCGGCGTTAGAGAGAAGGAAATGAGTTCGCCCTTGGAGTTTCTTGTGAACAGACACCTACAGCCGAGAGCAGGCGGACAATTCGTGCAATATGGAGAGGGTTTTGAAGGAAGTAGAAGACAGAGTGATATTTTAGAAAGCCAAAACATATTTCAGGTGGTAGGCCTGTAAATATACAAGTTTAGATATTAGATAAATAAAAAGATACTTTTGGGTGTTTACCTCTAAAAAATATAAAAAGTTGAAATGATTAAAAAGCATTAATTAGTATTAAAAATAATTTTGAGTGACTAAGGAACTACCATTGCAGCGAGATTGTGGTATTGATTAATTTTAAATCAATATCTTTTCTATTGGCTAGAAAGACACTCATAAAAGTTAATCAAAGTTAAACGTATTAGATAATTTTTGCAGCTGATATAGTTATAAAACTAAAACAGTGGTTGAAATAATGAACATTATGAAGATGATAAAAATATTTAGAAGATTAAAGATTTTGGATTTGTACAATAAATAACTTGTATATAACATACAATTTTAATGGTTGCAATGCCGATAAATATCAACTAATAATACTAAAAGATAACATGATTACTATTTGTAATAAATTTAAATATTTTATAACGATCATATAGAAAAATGGATATATACATAAGTATATATATATTCTAAACTTAAGGCTAAGTGATTAAAATAAATAAGTGCCGCATGAATACCATGCTAAAAAAATCATGAAGACATAAATATAGATTGTATAAAATAGTAATCAGCCTGCTTATGTCTAATTAATCATAGTTCATAAGTAAACAAATTATCTCTAAGTTGAGCATAGCAAAAAAAATGTTAAGAACTTGTTGTAAAATTAAGAATAAAAAATTAAAAAAATGTTATATTAAAGGGGTGATAACAGTCATATCTATTGAAAGATTAAATAGTTAAAAATAAAGACATAATTTTGGTCTGTTCAATGAAAAGTAGAAGATGCAACAATAAAATGGATAAATAAAAATAATATCAAATGATTAGTAAGAAAAATGATAGACAAAGATAAAAGAGAGAAATTTCACATTACATAAAAAGGTTATAACACCTTAGTCTATGATTAGAAGTTTTAAAGATGATGCATTAAATATTAATGTTAATTATGAATCATTTTTGGACATCACTTAAACATCTTCCACTATGCTCCAATAAATTAAGTTTATCAAATGGTTAAGTTGGACTGGAATATAGAAAAAATTTATTCTTTTGGTACTCTATAGCACAAGCCTAATAAGTTTACTGAAAATCATATGAAATTGTTTTATCTGGTCTATCATGTTTCTTTAATTGCCTTAGTGTAAAAATTGTTTTCCTAGTGGAGCTTTTTGGTATAGCCCTAAATTAATTTTTTTTATACTAATGATTTTTTTTTTCTAAACTTATGTTCCATTTCTTTCTCTCAAAAGTTTATTAAATGCTTAATAGCTTTGATTCCTTTATTATTTATTACAATCATGAATATCTTTGTCCTTGAATACCATACATGATGTTTTCTGCTGTAATCAACAGTTTTGCTCACTATTTTCACCACTTGTGGTTAGGTTTGCTTGCGAATTCAAGTATTTCCCTTAGAGTTACTTGCGAACTCAAGTATTTCCTATCATAAACACATGTTCGATTTTTTCAAATTATTATTTTATCTGGACACTCCTCGGCTGTGTTCGACACTGCATACCTTATTAAGGCGGAGTGTTAGTACATAATAGAGAGTAATTAGAAAGGACAAGGAATAAAATGGAATGAACCTGAAACTCTCCAACAATAACTTTTCATAAAGTATAATGATTCATAATGTAAACCATGAATTGCTACGATAAGGCTAATTATGATGATGATTAGAATTTAATGCTTATATATAGGTCAATATTCTTTTTTTCATAAAATTGATTATTAGCCTATAAACAAGTGAAGATACTTGTTGATGTGAAACAGCTTTTGTTCTTGGAATTAACTTGTTGCATTACTCAAAATGTATTAAATGATAGCAAGACCATTGGATATAATAGAAAAAAAAAAGGGTTTCCCTTTCCATCACAGGCAGTGAAATAAATTGCATTTCTATTTTATGTTTTTTTAGGAGTGTAGCATTATTTTTTGAGAAAACCAAGTTTATACAATCGAGTGTCCATTCAAAGAATAAATTAGAAGAGTCCATCAAATGCTATATTTGTGGCCTTTTGAAATAAGTTAAATGCAGCTTATCGGAAATTTTCACAGAGAACAACTTTTGATGGTGTTGCGAGTGAGGATGAAAAAGATGTTGACAGTAGAAATGTTCAAGGCATCCAGAAGCAGCCATCTTTGAATGAGATTGTTCCTGTTCATACATCATCGAACTTGGTGTTTGGTTACCTCAATCTCTTCTCTGATGGAGTTGTAAGTTGTACGCTTATTTTACGCTATGCTTTTATCTCAGGTGATGTTTAATCTGATGGAAGCAAAATGGCAGACAGCTTTCTTGTTGTTTATGACTACTGAATGTTGCGCCTTTCCTGTGAATTTTGCAGCATAATTTTACGGATGGAATGGCCTTAGGAAGTGCATTTTTACTACATGGAACAGTTGGAGGGTGGTCTCGGACATTGTTTTTGCTTGCACATGAGCTTCCCCAAGAGGTCCGTTTCAGATTAAGCTGTTCCAAACCTTAGAATATTCTTAAAGTTCTGATTAGTAACATTTGTATTAATTATATTTGCGTTCTTTATGAAGTAAATTACTACACTAGGATAGCTTTGATGTGCTATTTAATGAAAAAAAATCTTATAGGTAACATAATTACTCTTTAAGGCTAAAATCAATTTGGGAAGATTTACATACATATCACCCTATATTATTTTATTTGCATATTTACCACCTAAAACTTTAATATTACATACATACTACCTATAGTTCATTTTCATATCAAATATGAGTGATAAAAATGAAATATATGAGTGGTAAAAATGAAATATATGTGACATATTTGATATTAAAATAATATAAGGTAGTATATATGTAATATTAAAATTTTGGGTGTTAGATATGTAAATAAGATGGCATAAAGTGGTATGTATGTAAATTTCCCAATCAATTTTCATAGTTTCCACCTGCAGCAATGTGGAACCTTAACTCTGCCTTACATAACAAATTAACACTAGTATGCTTTTTGGTGTGTAGGTAGGTGATTTTGGGATTTTGGTTCGCTCAGGATTTTCGATCTCCAAGGCCCTTTTCTTTAATTTTTTGTCAGCATTAGTTGCCCTGGCTGGAACTGCTTTGGTTTGTTCCCTGTAACCAGTTAAATTTGTGCCAATATTGCATAGGAAAAACTTAATGCTAATACATCTTGTTTCTATGCAGGCTTTGGTGCTTGGCAAAGACCCTGGACAGTCTTCTTTGATAGAGGTAAGGGTCTCTTTATTTTTAGTGCTTGTTTCCTATTTGTACCCAGATACAAACTACCAAAGATCAGTTGAAGTTTTCAAGTTTGTTAATGCATTTAGGGCGCTTTTCGTAAAATTTTTCATTTTCTTAGCTTTTCACAAATACATTGACGATTGAAAGTTTTACTGCATGTGTTCAACGATCGTTAGTAACCTGTTGCAGAATAGCTTGTCTATATTTGTAAGAGTAACGATGACTACAGTTCTTAGCTAACAATACAACATGATATTGTCAAATGAAGCCTAAATTGGTTATATTAGGAGTTGTAACTTCATAATGTGTCCTAAGATTCTCGTGGTTTGAGATTTAGGTTTGAGACGGCTTTTGATGTGGACATTAGTAAGAGATTTCGACATGTGTTTCGTCGACGTAGTCGTGGATCATTGGCTACGATTCAGAGCCTGTATTTTTGATGTATTTTCTGTTTTATGTTTTATGTCGCATTTGAGTTTTCTCGTTTTACCCCTATGGGGAATTGAGTCTGTGTTGTAGCCCGAGGGCACTTTAGTCTTTTTTGTTTTCTTTCATTTGGGCCTATTTAGAGGAGGCCTCTTATATTGTAAATTTGTAATAGTTAATGATGATTTTGATGAATGAAGTTTTGCTTTGTTAGTGATCTCTTTGTGAATTCATGAGAGCGGAGAAGCCTCGGAGTGGCCAAGGAATACCCAACAGTTCATCTACAAGTGAGCTCTCGGTTTCTTTGTTTTATTTTTTTATTTATTTTGGATTCTCCCCCTTCCTCCTTTCCTCCCTATACCGCCGGCAAGCCCTTAATCCCTCCCCTCCACCCGACAGCTCCCATCTTCCCCTTGAATACCTACCCCAATACCCCACGCTGCCGGCCACTACAACAAACCGGCGGCCTCCTCCCCACCACCCCCTGCCGTCCCTAAGCCCAGCCCGCCAGCCACCTTGCTCCCAATTTTGAATTTCAAATTCCATTGGGTCATTAATCACCTTCCTAAAATAAGTCTTAGTAATTAGGAAAGTTCCCTAATTGGATTTCAATTAAAATTTGAAATTCAAATGCTTTCCTAATGCTAAAACTTAAATTTGAAAACTTCCTCTTTTAAATAAAATCTGAAATTCAATTCAGATTTGTTTAAAATCTTTAATTATTGCTTGGGACCCACATAATTAAAACAAATCCCTCTCCTCATTGTTTGGCCGGCCCCTTTATTGGGCCTTTTCTCTCTCCCAATTTAATCCCAATCTCTACCAAATCAGTGCCTAATCCTCTTCTAATTGCCGCCCTAGCCATCAATGGATTAATTTGAATTTTCAAATTAAGTTCCCTCCAAATCCACTTAACTCTGAATTTAATTTCAGATTTCTAATAATTCTTTCTCATCCAACCTAGATCTATCCGCCCCCTTCCCCCTCTTCCCCTCTCCTCTTCCTTTGGCCACCCCTCCCAAGTGACGGCTTCCCCACCACCACACCACCACGAGATACCAAGCTCTTCCAAGAGCATGCATAGTGGATCCGGAACTTGATCACGGATTTGTGTTCAACTCTCAAGGGTATATCGACATCATCCAATCACCGTTCTTTGACGTTGGATTCGGATTCGATCACACCGTTGAGGAATACATCGATCGTATCCTCTTCCACCTAGCGGACGTCATTGACGAACAATGACCTACGGGAGATGGGAAGATTACCGAACGCCCACCCGTTCCTCCAACTCCGATTCCTTCCCTGGCGACTAGCCCCCTTGGCATCACATATCTATTAGTGACATCTCTAAACTTGCTTGCAACCTTCTTCCACTAAACCAATAATTATGAAGAGTGTAAGAGAGGGATTCCAAGGTGAATTATCTAAATTTTAAACTGTGGATTTTGTTACGTGCCATTTGTTCTACTCATTTATTTGATGATGTAATTTTGCGAGTTTCCTATTAATCTCTATTGTAATAACTTGTCATTACTTAGTCCTTCCGTTGAATTTCATAAGATCTAACTTGAATATGCATCCACTTATGTTTAGCCGAGCAAAGTTAACATTTTATTAATTTCGTATAAGCAATTCTTGTTTCATCATCATTGTTTCACATCAGCTTTCTTACTGCTTCTTTAAGCATCTTTCTAGAACACATATTAAAACTTTTATACTAGACAGATGGTTTAAGAAGCAATAATAAAGCCATCCCAAATCATCTGTGACAGGTTTTTTACTTTTTTTTAAATCAACTTTTTTAAAAGATGGGATGATGCTTTGTAAAAAAACCTACTTTGGAAAGCAGTAAAAAAGATGGGATGATGCTGCGGGGGATGGAAAAAAGATACGCACTCTGCAAATTTTTTTTTTTGTTGGTAAAATTAGTGATAAAACGATGCAACCCTGCACGAGATAATATTGCCCTATTGGACCTTAGTATTAGATGTCTATAGTTTAAACTGTTGATTGTAGATGAGCCGTCATCTTTTAGAATCGAATTAGAGACTACATTTGGCAACATGCTACTGATAAAATTTAATTGAATTAGTGAATAGTGCGTCCCTTCTTTTGTTGTAATCTTAGCATTTTCTTTTGGTTGAGCATTTGAGTTCATTTATTTAGGGATTCACTGCGGGGGGGTTCATCTATATAGCGGTTGCAGGAGTCCTCCCAGAAATGCATGATGGGAAAACAACAATTAGAAGCACAGGTATTCAGTTGACCTCTCTATTAGCTGGAATGGCTGTTGCTCTCTGTATCTCTCTTGTAGAATGATCTTTTTGCATATATATGGTTGCTAAACCCTTGAATTCAGGGAGGGTTTTGTGATTGTCATCTTGTTACATTTAATTATTTTTGGTCGCTGTCGAATTGTCAATTTAAATTGTTGGCTTTCTTAGCACAGCTGATTGAAGGATACGTTAGTGGCAATCGAGCTTTTTAAAAGAGAGAAAATGTGATTGCATTGATATTTTGTAAAAGATGCAGTAAAATGTATGTTATGTTTCTTCTAAACATGACGTTTAATTGTTTGAATATAGTTTTGTATGTGAAGAGAGCTTAAGGCTTCATTTTGGACGGCTTTCTTACCGCTTTTTAAAGCAGCTTTCTAATATAAAAGTCAATTTTTTTGAACTAAAAAGTTGATTCAAGAAGCAGTAAAAAAGCCGTCCCAAACGAAGTCTAAATTTGATTATTTGAGGTGTTTTAACCTTTTCATCCAACTAAGTATCAAAAATTTTAAAATCCTTATATATATTTGGAATACTTTACACACATTTAGAATCCAACCAAATAGCCCCTAGCATATTCTTATACATTGCACAGTGTCATATTTGTTTTTCTATATATATTGGAAGTAATTTGTCATATGTATACATATAACAATCAAAAGTTTCCCATTTATACATTTAGCATCTAAACTTCACTATTTACACAATAGATCACTTAAACCATAGGTAAAGAAGTCATGGCGAATCTTGCCTTCAGTAAGAAGTAGCCATGGGATTTAGTGGAGTAGGCATTAGCTTAGGCAACGTGCAAAGAAGAAGAGTTTGTGAGACTAGTCGATTTAAGTTAACTTTGCCCAATGCTAGGAAATTTGGGATATACAAAAAAAAAAGAGAAATTTAGGAATATATATATATATATAATCACATTAACTCATCAATTCTATTCCTCCCCCTTTAAGGTGACTAGGACATCTGATATTCAAGACATACCAACTATAACACCCTAAGCTATGCTATATACTCACATTTATAATCCTTTAAATAAAAAAAAGATCAGTGCTCAACATATGAATCTCCTAAACTATTAGAATGATAAATATGGTCTATTATACATGAATGAATTTGATAATATAAACATTGTCTAAGCCTCCAGAATGTATAAGTTTCTAAATTCATAATCTCAATAATTAAAAATGATGATCTCCAAACATTTTTATGATAATGAGGTAATGAAGTCCAACACTATTCTTATAGATTGCATATAAGATCACCTTAGAAAATTACTCATATGATTTTTTCATAATAGGAAGTTATAGGTGGACTGGGATGAAAAAATAAAGGAACAAGGTCAATCTGACCCTGGCTGTGTCAATCTGTTGCGAACAAACATAACAAATGAACAGCCTTTCAACTAGCATAAAAACGGCTTTGGTTTCACAGAATAAACATAGTGGGCAATCAAGCTCAGTTGAAATAGGAGAGCATCATAGATATCTCTCTTACGCTGTGAATTGATGAATCAAGCATAGGATTTGGGCACTTTGCAGGCTGGTCTTCTTCCAACGGCTCCATTGGATGCTCTATAGGCTCGAACTCGGAGTTCCATTCCACCCCTTCCCTCTCTTCCGTCACCAAATCAACGTAATAATCTTCTCCATCCTTATTTCGCATTAACCATGCCTTCTCTTCCTTTTCCTCTTCCTCGTCATCGTCCTCCTCTTCCTCTTCCTGAATTCCAGACCAAACACATGTTAAACTAACGCAGAAGAGAGAGAGAGAGAGAGAGAGAACCAAAGGAATAGATGAGTAAGGTCCTCTCTCCATGGAGTCTGAGGAGATCGATCCCATTGCTTTCTCTTTTGTCCAGCTTTCTCTTTCTTACGACGCTGGAAGCTTGTTCTTTCCTGATTTTGCTTCTTCAGTTTGTTCGTCAATGCCAAGAGCTGATCATTAAAAAAGGTGTTACTGGTTTCATGCCTAGCACTCGAATTCTCCGTTCCCTTTATAATCTTTTCATCCCCAGCTCTCTATTATCTCTTAAGGAAAATCTATTTAATTCTGATTCGACGCGGAGGAAGAGACATGATGCCTACTCTCATTCTGACGTGGGCCCCACTATGCTTCAAGAGTTTAAGGATCACCATGATTTAAAGAATAAGAAGTTGACATCTTTGATCATGGCTTCATTTGGGGGGCAAATTATTCTGTTTAGACACCGAATGCCGTTCAGTAATCAATCAAAATGTGCCATGTCTCTTCCGCTCGGTATCACGGCTCGGTGCAGCACTTGGTACTGTGCTCGATACTGTTGACATGACACATTTTGGTTGGTCTCTGAATGGTTTAACTATGTTCGGCATTCGCACAGAATAATTTCTTTCATTTTGGATGGCTTTTTTACTGCTTTCTAAAGTAGTTTTTTAATATAAAAAAAATAATTTTTTACTAAAAACCTACTTTAAGAAGCAGTAAAAAAGTCATTCCAAATGAAGCGTAAAACTCTGCTGATTATTTTTTAAGATAATATGCATGAAATTTATTTCAAGATAAAAGTATCCTTAAAATTACAATATAAGATATAATGTTTAATGATATTGTAAAACTTTGAACCAGATAGTTGTTAAAACAATCTCTTTTCCAAGTGCCATCATCATCTTCCAAGCAAAGTCTTCTTCATTTTTGAGTAATTTTTTAGCGTAAAGCTTTATTATGTGACCTGAGTAATTCAATGTCTCTCTATATGTTTAATTAGATTGAATATATGCATATAAAATAAATTAACTCAAATGAATCAATTACATAAAGGTTAGAGAGAGCAATAGCAAATGGTTATGGTTCAAAAATATTGAACCACGTTCCAAATATGTTTAAGCCTTGTTCAATCATGGTTCAAGCTTGATTTGAATAAGATTTAAATCTTATTTGAACTTAGTTTGAACGTGATTCAAACTTGCTTAAAAGAATAGGATTTAAACATGATTATAATTACTATGTGAATAAGATTTAAAACTCCAATTATAAGTTTGTATCATATTTAGGCTTTGTTTGGGACATCTTTCTTGCTGCTTTATAATTTTTATACTAGAATGCTGCTTTAAGAAACAATAAGAAAGTCGTTCCAAACGAAGCCTTATTTTCGAAACCGGATTCTCCTTTAATCTCGTAATTATATTCCATAATTAATGGTGATGAACACATTTTAAACTTAAAGCAATAAAAATATGACATCAATAATCTGAAACAAAAGATGGAATATAGTGACTATTGTTGTGAAACTTTATTGTAGATTGATCACATGAGCTCTAAGATCATAGGCGATAGAAAGTATTGGGATGACTTGTATTTTAACATAGTAGGAGTATGTCATCCAAAGTAATATTTTAGGGCATATTTTTCCAACAAAGTGAACAACATAGATATTTGGCCAATGGTGAGAATTGTGAGGCATATAAAGTCAAATGCCCCAAAAAAATATTATAAAAAAATGCGTATAATTTTTCAGTTCAGAAGAATCAATATTTTATTTTCATATGTAAAATATTAAAAAAATATTTATTCTTTCTACTTATAAAGAAAAAAATCAATCTTGGACCCTTCAACTAAAATCATTATTTAATTGGCTTGAGAATGACTAGTTTGAAATTGAGAAATTTTTTTTTTTCCAAACAAGCATATATAATGTTTTGTTTTTTTGTTTGGACTTGTTTGAATGTGTTGATATATATGCGTTTCTTGGGTTCAATGTTGAATGGGAGAAATACCAAGGCATTATTATAGCGAGAGAGAGATCTTAGTCAAACCAAATTTTTGATCAAAAGTGCAGCGATAAATTATGTCCACATTTAACCTTTCACCTCATATTTATAGGCGAGGGTCAAAGTTCGTGCTTTAGAAAATGTGACATTATAAATTCATAAAAAAATATATAATTAAAGTTTCGTTTGAGATAGCTTTTTTATTTCTTTTTAAAGATGATTTTTGTACGTAAAGCTGCTTTAGAAAGCAGTAAGACCTGTCATAAATAAAACCTAAGCTTGTTTAGGAAATGAATCTAATTGGCAGCTACATGATGAGCACATGCTACTTTTTGAGTTCCAAGTTAAGGGCAAGTAACTTTAATTATTCCTTTATGGGAGAACCCCTAATTGTCATAATGATTACTCTAGACAAAAAGCTAAGTTGTGTGGGCAAATAATTTTGACAAATAGATGAGTTAGGGATCCTCTTTGTGAATTGAAGTATAGTGAGCACTAAGTTAATTTACAAATGTAAACTCTTAAATTAGGTTCAAGCTTTTGTAATGAGTTGAGCAATTTAGTCAAACAAATAAGGATGTACATCAGTTCTTTAATTCTTTCTATCTCTTATGAGAAACTAAAAAAAAAAGAATAAATTGTAGAATCTAATGACAACTATGTGATATGATTCATTGAATCTATAGGATACTAAGATTTTAATAAATGTCAGACATGTCAACATTCAAATCCTATAAATTCATGTTTTAGTTTTCATTGCAACAAATTCCATGAAATTTTCTTACAATTTTGATCTTTTGATTCTTTATATTTAATATGTTATTTTTGTATTCTATGAATTGAAAGAAGATTGTTCACCTTTCTAATTTTGAAAATTTTAAAAGATTACTAAAACATTCTTGAAAATCAATATCTTCTAGAATCATGGTTGTTGGATTGCTCTCCTTTGAAAGAGATCAAGATTGAACCCACAAAGGAGGCAGTGATGGTTAAGAATATATTCTTCCACCAAATGAGGTGGCTATTGCTCGAGTTGGCATGGAAATGATGTTTTTTAGCCTAGAAGAAGTGTTTGCTATCATAAGATTAAGTACTCCATTGGTTACCATGAAAAGCCTTTGGTGCTACTCTGATGGAGGAGGCTAGGATAGAAATATGTTAAAAGAAAATTGAAAGCAACGAGTTTCATTGCTTTAAGTTTTCCTTCATTGTAGAGAAGTAATTTGTTTAATGATATTGTGGCCAATACTCCTAAGAGTAGGATGTTAGCTTTTGAATACATCACTTGTCTTAAGAAATTAATTGAGGGTGTCTTTCTGCATTGGAGGATACTTCTCAAGGAGAGCTTGTTAGGTATTAGTCCTAGATTTAGGTTTGCTTTTGTGTAGCTATTTGTATAGTTGTAGGTGTTGCTTTTGTGCCTATTAATAGGCTTTAGCTTGTATTAGGAAAGCAGCCAAGGAAATAAAGATTTGCATAGTTTGGCTCACCGCCTCCCTCTCCTCTCTCCCTCTTCCTCTTTCAAGATCCATGAGGAAGTGCTTCTTCCTCAAGTGAAGGGATCTCACATCTGGTATCAGAGCCACGGTGGTGGTGGCGATCAAGGTGGAGGAGGCGGAGACGTGTTTTCTTGTCTAAAGAAAACGAGGAAGGCGGACTGGCAGCGAGGGTTGGCGTTGGAGTCGACGGAGGGTCCGGAGTTTTTTCTTGTAGACGGCTTCTGGAAGGTAGAAGGCTCGGCAAAGGGAGCACAGACGGTGGTTTCCTGTGACATCCGTGACCAAAAGGAGAATCACGCGGGTGAAGCGGAAGCATCCCGCGTGATCGGTTGCTGGATCAGTCGCGTGACAGATCAGACGTTGGACTGGGCCAGCCTTGTCACGGACGGAGGCCGACTTGGCTACTTGTTTGCATGCAGGAAGCCGGAGTTAGCTCAGAGCTCCGGCGTCGAGATCAAGAAATTGGGGGTGTGATCCGGAGCTACCGGCCGTAAAGAATCTTGGCCGGGTTGCTGGTTGAGGTA